TGGTTAACATTAGTTAATTCATTAGTTAACATAAACTGCCAATGAAAAATTCTTCTGAACATTTATTAATCTTAGGTATTCCAATATTTAATAACAGGATGTTAAAATCGAGAGTTGCAGCTGTGTTATTTAATGAGCTAACATGAACTAAGACTTGTATTTTTTTAAACAAGGATTAATAACTTCTGTAGCAAATGTAGCTATTGCTCATTGTGAATGTTAATGCATTAATTAAGGTTAACTAATGAGGTCTTATTGTAAAGTGATACCTATTGGTCTTTATAGTTATTTTGCACTTTAATCTGTGTAAAACTTTTAACTTTATACATTTTTCTGTATTGCTTTATTGCATTTAAATGTTCAGTTATTTTTGTTATAAGAAAAATGTTATTAAACCTGTTATACTGTATTATGACAGCACTTTTTAAAACTAAATTGCAATATCGTGATAATACCGTATACCGTGATAAAAAGCATTATCAATTAATCGCAACATGAAAATTTGATACCGGCATATCCCTACTCACAATATGCATTTACTTTACACGCCGCTTTGTTCTTGCAATTCTGTAATTACCAATTAGATTAAAGGGGCCACACAACTTGAAAAAAAAGTACAATTTTGAACTCTTTAGGGGTGAATAAGGTGCAAATATGTCCCTTTGAGCATACAAGCTGTTCTGCCAATAAAGGTACAATTTCTATAAAAAAAAAATTTCCTGATAGTGCATCAGCATGCTTATTGTTATATTATTAATGATAATAAAAAAGGGCTTGAGGATTGTTTGAGAGTTTCTTTTTCCTTGATATCACGGAAAGAAAGTTTTAGCAAGTGGCGGTTCATCTTTTATCTTTTATAACTCGTAACTTCAGCCTCTGTCATTTAAAAAGTTTGTGTATGTGCGTGTATTTCTCATTGAGGCCTTTACTGTTCTTTGTCATTTAGATAAACCACTTCCTGACAACTGGAAACAAAAATCTATTTATAACTTTGCGTGTCCTAATTTTACACTCACTCATTTTGTTCTCCAGAACTATTTTTGCTACTTGGTTGTGTTTATTCTCCCCCTCACAGTGTCACTTCCTGCCACATGCTGTGTGTGCTAGGGGAGCTTTGTAGTAAGTTTATTAATGTCACTTGAATGAAAAGTGACCTGCACATCATCTGCAGTCTTTTCGTTTACTTTGCTAATCTGAATATGCTGTTAAAAGTTTTCTGTTTTTATTCCTTTTAATGATGCATATTGACTCCAAAAGTATAGCAGACTACTAGTGGAAATTCTTCCACAATTCATACCAGTTTTACTGAAAAGCTAACACACATTTCAAATGTCTTTAATGACAGATGCATTAACTTTTGTGTCAAACCTGACGGTCATGTTCTCCAGTATGATTTGGCATGATCCAAAGAGCCTTGGAAATGGAAGCAAGAATCTGACCATCTGAACAAAGAGTCACATGGTCAGTGTCACTAATTTTACTTTTTTTATTAGTGACCTACAAATTCATTTTTGTTTTAATTTTTTCACAATCCAGAAACATTATTTTCACGTTTTGGTAACATCCCACATTCAGTGTGGACTCCGCACTGTTTGATACAGCATTTGTAATTGTTAGGCATTTCTTCTTGTCACAGTGTTCCTGTGATATTACCCATCAGCACAAGTGAGTTCTATGCAAAAAAAAACACACATGGAAATGAGTGTGGACAGGGACATCTGGTACACAAATATGATTATGCAATGGGGGAACACATGCAAGGCAAGATGCAAATACAGTACTAAGAGAAGACCTTCTTTTGTTTAATTTTGTTTAGGAGCATTTTGAGGTGGTTCAGCCATACAAGGAAGGACTTTAGTCACTTTCATTGTTGATACAGTAACTCTCTGCTTTTTATTTAGTTAGTTAACATAAAGAGTTTTTCAAACTGGTGTCTGGGGACCCTCAGGGGGCCACCCTTTAAAAAAAAAAAGTGTGCTTAATGGTACTGAATGTGCACATGTAATGTGTTTCAAATATTAAAAGTCTATTTAAAAAAATGCTTGCAGATAAAATAATATGAATGAAATAAAAGGGTTCTTATTTGTACTTAAAGAGAGCAAACTTTCATCACTGTTTCTTATCACCCTTTTAAAAAGTGCACTTTGTCATTTCAAATTAAATGTTTTACTTTAAAGTACATTTTAAATCATTATGTTTTCGTTGTTATTTAAAGAAGTACACTTATTTTGATGTGTTGACTAACATGCTAAAGCACATGCAAAGTACTTTGTTATTTGTTATTTATATTACATTTAATATACTTTAAATGTACTAAATTGCAACTTCATCATGTGTGATTAGAAATATTTTTTAAATACATGATTTACAAGTTTCAGTAGAAATGACCTTATTACCTAATTATTATTTTTTGGTTTACCATACATGTTTCTCAGTAAAATCAACAGTACACTTTAACCATATTTCTAAGACAACAGAATTATGAAATTGCATATGTACTTTAGTCCTATTTAAAGGGATAAATCACTCAAAAATTAAAATTCTGTCATCATTTACTCACCCTCAATTTGTTACAAACTTCTATGACGTACTTCTGCAGAATGCAAAAGAAGATATTTTGAAGAATGTGGGTTTTTGCATAACATTACACTTTTCTAATATATTATACATTTGTCTTTATGCAAGCAGATATACAGCTGCCTTAATATTTTAAGAAGGAGATTATATATTTATATATGTGGGTCTTTTTTTTCTGTGTAATGTGTCTGTCTCTGGGAAAATGTTCCTGGGCTCCTCAGTGATGTGTAATGTTGCATCCAATCAGGGCTCTTTTCCAATAATAGTTTTGTTAAAACTGGATTGATTCTTCTTTCCTCGCACGTCTTCTCTTAAATAAGAGCAAGGATGTGATTCAAACGAATACCAGCACCCTTTGCCATATCAACAGCCTGTAAACTAATAAGCGTGTCAAGACCGGTGAAAGCACACCACTGTAAACAGAGCCCTACAGACATGCACATGCTCACACATACAGAGAGTTAGACAGGATAAAAACTTGATGAGTAGTATTATTATTTATTAATCAACAAATATAATTTCTTGTTGACAGGCATTTAAGGCTTGAAAATGGCCATAAATAATAATGATCATAAATCGTCTGTCTGGATATGCAATAAACTTGGATTGAACTACGTAGAAAAGCAGAAGTTTAAAGCTTTTAAAGCAGAGTTTAATTGTGTAGCTGGACAAAGAATAATTGTGTGTCTTTCCCTGCAGACCCGTGTTTGACAGTCATCCCTCCATGTATGAATGAAGCCGACCGCTTCAGTTTAGAGGCGCTTCGGCACATTCACAAGCAGCTAGATGACGACAACGATGGAGGAATTGAAGTGAATGAGAGTGTAGAGGTGAGCATATGTTGTTTAGACCTGGAAATTTTTTGCCTTTCATTTAATACAATAGTACAGTGTTTCCCAACCTTTTTTAGTCGCGGCACCCTTTGGAAATTTTAACAAACTTGTGGCACCCTACAAAATTAATTTTGTCACAATATTTGAATTTCGAACTTCGATATGATAATTTGAAAAGTATAGATATTCGGTACAACAGTGAAGAACTGCAGAATATAATGTCATACAGATATTTTTAATATTATAAAAAGAAATGTGTCTATCAATGGTGGCAATCGCTCTCGACAGACGGCACCCCGGTTGGGAAACACTGCAATAGTACATGTGTTGGAGTGTGGGGGCGTGTTTGTGTGTGTGTGTGTGCATTTTGTGAGGGGGTCGGGGGGCTTAAAAACAGGTCAATAAAACTTAGACCCACCAGGGACCTCAAAGGGCAAAGTTGACATGGTTCTTGCCTGCAAAAAGAGACTATTGACATATGAGCACTTCACCCAGAGGGCTACTACATGATTGTGTGTGTGTGTGTTTGTGTATACATGATGAAAAATCAATGCATATTCATATAGGATTTTTTAATAGGATAGTTTTAAATATGTTAAAGGCTTTTTGCATGGTATAATAGGCATGTTTTAGTGTCACATGCATATGCATGGCTTCCTAAACGTGATCTATGCAACACAATCTGTGGCAGTTAAATATAATCTTGACTGTGACATGATTTAAGTGACTGTGAATGCTAATTGCCATTTTGTCTCAACACAAAATGTGTTTAAGTGAATTATGTTCTAACAAAACAATTTTATTTTATTATTATTATAATTTTTTTAAATAAAATGAATCCACAGCCATGAATACTTTACAGTACGGTTAATTTCATTTATATTATCATGAACTAGCAATGGACATTTTTACAGAATTTATGAATCCTAATTTAAGCTAATTATTATTAAAATGAATAGCTAATTCATGTTCCCTTACAGTCGGTCACGGAGACGTCACGTCGGATGACTGACGAAATTGGGATCTCGCTTAGAGAGACCAATCTACTTCGAGTGTAAACTAAACGAGCCAATGCACATTGGCATGCGATTATTGCATCCAGCTGCCGCTGATCACAGCGTGAGTATAAGTAGGCAGCAGATGCAGCGCATATTCAGGTTTTCGCTGAGGAGCCGAGCCGGTGACCCGGCCGCTCAGCGGTGGTACAGGAGCTGTGGCGACGGGACGTGACGTCTCCGTTCCCTCCTTCAGGGAACGAGGGTTACCATACGTAACCGAGACGTTCCCTTTCAGTCGGTCACTCTCGACGTCACGTCGGATGACTGACGAAATTGGGATCTCGCTTAGAGAGACCAATCTACTTCGAGTGTAAACTAAACGAGCCAATGCACATTGGCATGCGATTATTGCATCCAGCTGCCGCTGATCACAGCGTGAGTATAAGTAGGCAGCAGATGCAGCGCATATTCAGGTTTTCGCTGAGGAGCCGAGCCGGTGACCCGGCCGCTCAGCGGTGGTACAGGAGCTGTGGCGACGGGACGTGACGTCTCCGTTCCCTCCTTCAGGGAACGAGGGTTACCATACGTAACCGAGACGTTCCCTTTCAGTCGGTCACTCTCGACGTCACGTCGGATGACTGACGAAATTGGGATCTCGCTTAGAGAGACCAATCTACTTCGAGTGTAAACTAAACGAGCCAATGCACATTGGCATGCGATTATTGCATCCAGCTGCCGCTGATCACAGCGTGAGTATAAGTAGGCAGCAGATGCAGCGCATATTCAGGTTTTCGCTGAGGAGCCGAGCCGGTGACCCGGCCGCTCAGCGGTGGTACAGGAGCTGTGGCGACGGGACGTGACGTCTCCGTTCCCTCCTTCAGGGAACGAGGGTTACCATACGTAACCGAGACGTTCCCTTTCAGTCGGTCACTCTCGACGTCACGTCGGATGACTGACGAAATTGGGATCTCGCTTAGAGAGACCAATCTACTTCGAGTGTAAACTAAACGAGCCAATGCACATTGGCATGCGATTATTGCATCCAGCTGCCGCTGATCACAGCGTGAGTATAAGTAGGCAGCAGATGCAGCGCATATTCAGGTTTTCGCTGAGGAGCCGAGCCGGTGACCCGGCCGCTCAGCGGTGGTACAGGAGCTGTGGCGACGGGACGTGACGTCTCCGTTCCCTCCTTCAGGGAACGAGGGTTACCATACGTAACCGAGACGTTCCCTTTCAGTCGGTCACTCTCGACGTCACGTCGGATGACTGACGAAATTGGGATCTCGCTTAGAGAGACCAATCTACTTCGAGTGTAAACTAAACGAGCCAATGCACATTGGCATGCGATTATTGCATCCAGCTGCCGCTGATCACAGCGTGAGTATAAGTAGGCAGCAGATGCAGCGCATATTCAGGTTTTCGCTGAGGAGCCGAGCCGGTGACCCGGCCGCTCAGCGGTGGTACAGGAGCTGTGGCGACGGGACGTGACGTCTCCGTTCCCTCCTTCAGGGAACGAGGGTTACCATACGTAACCGAGACGTTCCCTTTCAGTCGGTCACTCTCGACGTCACGTCGGATGACTGACGAAATTGGGATCTCGCTTAGAGAGACCAATCTACTTCGAGTGTAAACTAAACGAGCCAATGCACATTGGCATGCGATTATTGCATCCAGCTGCCGCTGATCACAGCGTGAGTATAAGTAGGCAGCAGATGCAGCGCATATTCAGGTTTTCGCTGAGGAGCCGAGCCGGTGACCCGGCCGCTCAGCGGTGGTACAGGAGCTGTGGCGACGGGACGTGACGTCTCCGTTCCCTCCTTCAGGGAACGAGGGTTACCATACGTAACCGAGACGTTCCCTTTCAGTCGGTCACTCTCGACGTCACGTCGGATGACTGACGAAATTGGGATCTCGCTTAGAGAGACCAATCTACTTCGAGTGTAAACTAAACGAGCCAATGCACATTGGCATGCGATTATTGCATCCAGCTGCCGCTGATCACAGCGTGAGTATAAGTAGGCAGCAGATGCAGCGCATATTCAGGTTTTCGCTGAGGAGCCGAGCCGGTGACCCGGCCGCTCAGCGGTGGTACAGGAGCTGTGGCGACGGGACGTGACGTCTCCGTTCCCTCCTTCAGGGAACGAGGGTTACCATACGTAACCGAGACGTTCCCTTTCAGTCGGTCACTCTCGACGTCACGTCGGATGACTGACGAAATTGGGATCTCGCTTAGAGAGACCAATCTACTTCGAGTGTAAACTAAACGAGCCAATGCACATTGGCATGCGATTATTGCATCCAGCTGCCGCTGATCACAGCGTGAGTATAAGTAGGCAGCAGATGCAGCGCATATTCAGGTTTTCGCTGAGGAGCCGAGCCGGTGACCCGGCCGCTCAGCGGTGGTACAGGAGCTGTGGCGACGGGACGTGACGTCTCCGTTCCCTCCTTCAGGGAACGAGGGTTACCATACGTAACCGAGACGTTCCCTTTCAGTCGGTCACTCTCGACGTCACGTCGGATGACTGACGAAATTGGGATCTCGCTTAGAGAGACCAATCTACTTCGAGTGTAAACTAAACGAGCCAATGCACATTGGCATGCGATTATTGCATCCAGCTGCCGCTGATCACAGCGTGAGTATAAGTAGGCAGCAGATGCAGCGCATATTCAGGTTTTCGCTGAGGAGCCGAGCCGGTGACCCGGCCGCTCAGCGGTGGTACAGGAGCTGTGGCGACGGGACGTGACGTCTCCGTTCCCTCCTTCAGGGAACGAGGGTTACCATACGTAACCGAGACGTTCCCTTTCAGTCGGTCACTCTCGACGTCACGTCGGATGACTGACGAAATTGGGATCTCGCTTAGAGAGACCAATCTACTTCGAGTGTAAACTAAACGAGCCAATGCACATTGGCATGCGATTATTGCATCCAGCTGCCGCTGATCACAGCGTGAGTATAAGTAGGCAGCAGATGCAGCGCATATTCAGGTTTTCGCTGAGGAGCCGAGCCGGTGACCCGGCCGCTCAGCGGTGGTACAGGAGCTGTGGCGACGGGACGTGACGTCTCCGTTCCCTCCTTCAGGGAACGAGGGTTACCATACGTAACCGAGACGTTCCCTTTCAGTCGGTCACTCTCGACGTCACGTCGGATGACTGACGAAATTGGGATCTCGCTTAGAGAGACCAATCTACTTCGAGTGTAAACTAAACGAGCCAATGCACATTGGCATGCGATTATTGCATCCAGCTGCCGCTGATCACAGCGTGAGTATAAGTAGGCAGCAGATGCAGCGCATATTCAGGTTTTCGCTGAGGAGCCGAGCCGGTGACCCGGCCGCTCAGCGGTGGTACAGGAGCTGTGGCGACGGGACGTGACGTCTCCGTTCCCTCCTTCAGGGAACGAGGGTTACCATACGTAACCGAGACGTTCCCTTTCAGTCGGTCACTCTCGACGTCACGTCGGATGACTGACGAAATTGGGATCTCGCTTAGAGAGACCAATCTACTTCGAGTGTAAACTAAACGAGCCAATGCACATTGGCATGCGATTATTGCATCCAGCTGCCGCTGATCACAGCGTGAGTATAAGTAGGCAGCAGATGCAGCGCATATTCAGGTTTTCGCTGAGGAGCCGAGCCGGTGACCCGGCCGCTCAGCGGTGGTACAGGAGCTGTGGCGACGGGACGTGACGTCTCCGTTCCCTCCTTCAGGGAACGAGGGTTACCATACGTAACCGAGACGTTCCCTTTCAGTCGGTCACTCTCGACGTCACGTCGGATGACTGACGAAATTGGGATCTCGCTTAGAGAGACCAATCTACTTCGAGTGTAAACTAAACGAGCCAATGCACATTGGCATGCGATTATTGCATCCAGCTGCCGCTGATCACAGCGTGAGTATAAGTAGGCAGCAGATGCAGCGCATATTCAGGTTTTCGCTGAGGAGCCGAGCCGGTGACCCGGCCGCTCAGCGGTGGTACAGGAGCTGTGGCGACGGGACGTGACGTCTCCGTTCCCTCCTTCAGGGAACGAGGGTTACCATACGTAACCGAGACGTTCCCTTTCAGTCGGTCACTCTCGACGTCACGTCGGATGACTGACGAAATTGGGATCTCGCTTAGAGAGACCAATCTACTTCGAGTGTAAACTAAACGAGCCAATGCACATTGGCATGCGATTATTGCATCCAGCTGCCGCTGATCACAGCGTGAGTATAAGTAGGCAGCAGATGCAGCGCATATTCAGGTTTTCGCTGAGGAGCCGAGCCGGTGACCCGGCCGCTCAGCGGTGGTACAGGAGCTGTGGCGACGGGACGTGACGTCTCCGTTCCCTCCTTCAGGGAACGAGGGTTACCATACGTAACCGAGACGTTCCCTTTCAGTCGGTCACTCTCGACGTCACGTCGGATGACTGACGAAATTGGGATCTCGCTTAGAGAGACCAATCTACTTCGAGTGTAAACTAAACGAGCCAATGCACATTGGCATGCGATTATTGCATCCAGCTGCCGCTGATCACAGCGTGAGTATAAGTAGGCAGCAGATGCAGCGCATATTCAGGTTTTCGCTGAGGAGCCGAGCCGGTGACCCGGCCGCTCAGCGGTGGTACAGGAGCTGTGGCGACGGGACGTGACGTCTCCGTTCCCTCCTTCAGGGAACGAGGGTTACCATACGTAACCGAGACGTTCCCTTTCAGTCGGTCACTCTCGACGTCACGTCGGATGACTGACGAAATTGGGATCTCGCTTAGAGAGACCAATCTACTTCGAGTGTAAACTAAACGAGCCAATGCACATTGGCATGCGATTATTGCATCCAGCTGCCGCTGATCACAGCGTGAGTATAAGTAGGCAGCAGATGCAGCGCATATTCAGGTTTTCGCTGAGGAGCCGAGCCGGTGACCCGGCCGCTCAGCGGTGGTACAGGAGCTGTGGCGACGGGACGTGACGTCTCCGTTCCCTCCTTCAGGGAACGAGGGTTACCATACGTAACCGAGACGTTTGTTCATGATACATTGAGTAATGTCAGCTTGTAAGGTTTAAATGTTAAAAATGAATTAGTGAGTGTGTATATATATATATATATATATATATATACACACTCACTAATTCATTTTTAGAGGCGAAAATATATTAAATTGTTATAAACACTGCTATATATATATATATATATACATATATAGCAGTGTTTATAACAATTTAATATATTTTGTTATAAACACTGCTATATATATATAGAAGTCGTTATGTATGATGTTATGAGGTGGGTGTGTGGGCGTGTATGTATGTTTGTTGATGTTTTTGAGGTTTGAATGACAGTTTCACATGTCCTCTTTATTCTATCAAACACACTCATCCGGTGAAGTGGAAGTTTCCTTCTTTTATACCAACTGACACTACTCAAAAGTGTAAATCTCACAGTGCACCTCTCTGTTTAATTTACTGCAGACATGGATCACTTACTTCCGGAGTTCTTTTTTTTTTTTTTTTACAATTTATTGCAGCTGGAGGTAAACAAGTTATTAATAGTATAAAAAATATACAAAAAGTTGCTATTAGTCTGTTAAAATAATAGTAACATCCTCATGCAACACAAGAGGTAGTACGTCTTCTGGTTTGTCCACACTAAACATGTACATACGTCACTAGTGGCCCTCACCATTTCCTTCAGGTTCGCTCGCGACCTCAAGATTGAAAGTGAAGATACAGTTTATTTTCTCTTTTTACTTTCCTGTTTTTTTTGCTGCTCAGCTCTCTTTGATTTTAAATGGGACTTTTTATATACGTAAATGGTTAGTGAGGGTGTGACGTGTGTTTTGAGGATTGTTTTTGGTCATGGCAGGTGTTCCTAGGCTCAAGAAGTGTTTCGAGAAGAGGCCTAAGAATTTCTCCTCCTTACAGCCACTGAAAGTTGGTGTCCTCTTTCAGGACACAGCAGATTCCTGAGTGTGTGTGTGTGAGGGAGAGCGAGTTGCTAAATAAACCTACACAACTTTAAAGATGTCTTGTCCCTCATTTGTTGGAGCATAGCAACATAATTCATAAACAGAAGGGACAAACAAACCTGTTTAACAAAATGACATTTTTCATAATGTATGTGCAGCACACAAATATGCAGAACCACAGATAGATACACAGTTGACACAGACCTGACCACAGAGAGCTTCACTTTTATCTAGTATGCTTGTCATATTCTAATTGCTTTATTGTGCAATAAAACTGTGCTCTAGTTATGTACTTCTGGTCTTTTTTTGAAATTGCATTGCGGCTCTGCAAATGTTGTAGTCTCATGATTAATCACATGTGTTTTTCCTCATTTGTTAGTCGCTTTGGTTAAAAGCATCTGCAAAATGAATTAATATCATGTGTAAGGCAACAGATAGAATATTCAAATGTAATGTTTCTCTTATGTCTTTTTTGCATTAAAAATATTTGCATTATATTGAAAGGTAATTTTGAAACCAGCAAACCCACTTGTGACCTAAAGCCAAATAAAACATGATATGGCATGAACTAATTCGTAAGAAGTCATTTTCCTGTGGTCTGAGCAGTAATGTTATCCTGTTGTTCTTTTGCAGTTTATCATAGAGGACATGAAGCAGCAGCAGACAAATAAACACAGTAATCTTCACCGAGAGGACCAGCACATCACGGTGGAGGAGCTGTGGAGGGGCTGGAAAATATCAGAAGGTAAAGAAAGATGGACAGGGAAAACGTGAGCTGGGTGGCGTGTACAGCACTGTGAGACAGAAAGAAAGAAAAAAAGTGTCCACCGGTAGAGATTTTGCTTTTCTGTTTATACTATACTGGTAGATGTATTTTGCAGATATCGATGGGCTGGACAATTTCATATTATTGTTTTTTTTATGTGAGAATGAAAAACAGAAACATTGAATAATTTGAAAGTACTGAGCAGGATGTGTCCCAAACTAGTCAAGTCAAGACAAGAAAGGTCTTGTTGTTAACTTGAGAACGGGTGCAATTGTAACATTTTTTTTTACATTTTCCTTTCCATAATTCACAGACTACTTGAAATAAACTAGTCATCTTTTGATACAAAAAACAAATATGGGTGCACTAATTAATAATACAATTGATATATGTTCACTAATAAGGACAAGACTATAATATTAAATTCAATTGAGAATTGTAACAAGAAGTGTTGTTACCCCTATAAGGCTATAAGTTTGATTGCATCATATAATAATTGCTGTTAATAGTGTTCATCGTCTGTTTTATTACGTCTTAAATTGATTTTTCCGTACATTTCTGCCATATGTACATTAATTGACAGTCACCACTGATAAGCTACCACTAAATATTGTAGAAACTTAATTTGCTGTAAAGTTGCTTTGCAATGATTTGTATCGTGAAAAGCGCTGTACAAATAAACTTGACTTGACTTGACTTGACCCCTTGGTAACAGAGTTTGGGTGCAATTGTAACACTGAAAACTACAGTAAAGGGATAGTTCACCCAAAAAAAATTCTGTCATTATTTACTCACCCTCATGTTGTTCCAAACCCGTAAGACCTCTGTTCATCTTGATCACGTAAGGACCCTTGCTGTCTATGGGAGGGTCAGAGAGCTCTCAGATTCCATAAAAAATATCTTAATTTGTGTTCTGAAGATGAACGGAGGTCTTACGGGTTTGGAACGACATGAGGGTGAGTAATTAATGACATAATTTTCATTTTTGGGTGAACTATCTCTGTAAGTCATATTAACCCACTGTATCTCAAATAAAATCTACCTCAGAGTAATCACTTTACTGCTGTAGTAACTATAAATGTCACTTAAGTTTTTCTTTTCTTTTCTTTCTTTTAAATGTCAGGCATCATATGCATTCAAAATGCAAAAGTCTATTTCTATTTTTGCAGAAGACTAGGCAACTATTCTATTGGTAACTAGATTTTAATTATTTAAATGTATTTTAATATATTATTTTATTTATTTAAATATATTCGACTCAAATACATTAATCAGCTGATGAGTCTGATGAAACTTTAAAGAAACGGAAGACAAGCATATTAAGAGAATAACTCAATGAGATAATATTGGAGATAATATTCATTTTAGTTTTTTAAGATTTAAAAGCAACACATTATTTAATGTGTAACACGAATAATTTTGAAATGTAGTTTTACATTTAATTATGTTCATTTTCTAACAGAAAAGTATGTCAACACAGACAAACAAGGTGCTTGCAATGGGCCATGTGTCACACAACGTTACAATTGCCACGCATGTTGCAACCAAGAATCTCGTATGCTAGCTAGCCACGCCTATATTAGCATAGGTTGCTCATGTTAATCTTTTATCAATAACCTAGAGATAAAACGCATGTAAGTTTAAATTCACAGTCATCTAAACTTTAGACAGCAGAAGAAAACTACTGTTCATCCAAAAAGTAACTTTCATACCTCAAAATCAGTATTTTGTTAAAAACTTCTGCTGAGGTGAAATGATTGTGCTCCTTTTTCACAGGCAGAGAGAGAATCCTACTGAACATGTGCAGATTAAGTGTCATCACTCTAGCTTGTTGAGAATTGCCCCCGGTCTCCCCTACAGTACATCCCAACTTGCTGCATAAATGTATAATTCAGATGATGACAGTTGTGCACATATATTGGCTATTTTAGCTATTATTCATTTGGTATGAGTAACTATACCTTTTGTTTTTTTTATCAATTAAGTTCATTAAGCTTAAAAATTCATAATAATGAAAAAAGGTGAAGTACCTTTTATTTTTAAAGTATTTAATTTACTGTATTATTGAAATTTATTAAAATTAATGTTTATTAAAATATTTTTTTTAAGTTTAAAACTGAAAAAAAAAGAGTTTAAAACTGTTTTCTATTTTAATATATTTTATTAATGTATTCATGTGATGGCAAAGCTGAATTTTCAGCTTCCATTCTTTGATGAATAGAAAGAACAGCATTTATTTAAAGTAGAACTCTTTTGTAATATTACAAACATCCTTATTGTCATTTTTGATCAATTTAATGTGTCCTTGCTGAACAAAAGTTTTCATTTCTTCAAACAAATAAAACATCCATGTTGATCCTGGGACAAAATTCCAATCAACCAATCAGAATTGAGGGATAAGTTTACAGAACATATCAGTTTTAGGCTTACATCCAGGGTTAGGTGCTTCTACACCTTTTATTCAGCTATCATTTCCGTCTGATTTTAGGGATAAATTATGGTTAGTGTAGGGATATGGTCTGTGTTTTTGGATGGTAATGTTGTGCCAGGATGAAAAAAAAGATGTTGGTCCAGGAACATGTCTTACTATCTCATTTGCTTTACTGATAGCAGAGCACAAGCTGCATTAACTTACAAAAGTTTGTGTGAAACCTGACGATCATATTATCCAGCATGATTTGATATGATCCAAAGAGCATCTTAATCTTCAGTGGAAGAACATCTGAGCATCTGTACAAACAGTCACTTGATCAATTTCCTAAAAAATGACATAGAAATAGTGCAGAATCTGAAATATTTTTCTTCATTCTTCAGGATGTTTTTTCCTTCTTTTTCAGGTTAAACTTCTGTTTTTTTACTGATGTACCTTCATTGATCAAAGGCCAAATATTAGAAAAATACTGAAGATTGATCTCACTCAAAAAAAACAAACAAACAAACAAAACAAAAAATATATATATACAGGTGCTTATTTTTATTTATTTTTCAAAACATGTTGAAGGATTGCAAATTTGTCATTAAAATATGTTACAAAATATGTTACTCGCCCCTCTCTTTGCTCTTTCTCTCTCTCTCTCTCAGTGCACAACTGGACACTGGAGGATGCAGTTCAGTGGCTGAAAGTGTCGGTGGAGTTTCCTCAGTACGAAAAAAACTTCAGAGATTTTAAAGTAGATGGCAATACGCTACCTCGGTAAACACATGCACACTTTTGTCTATTCATCATGGACTTTCCACTGACTCGCATTGTTTTTATGCGTAGTTATAATACTTCTACTCCTAAACCAATCACAGCCTTACACAAATTTTTTTTTTTTTCATGTATGCATTATTTTTTAAGCCACACTTATGTTAAAGTGTGATAGAACCTAATAGGGAAATGAAACTAGAGTTGAAACTAGTAGAAGCCTAAGTAATACAAGTATCTTAACTATCTCTATAAAAGTAAAAAGGTGTGTCTTTAACACTGATATTACAGTTTTTCTCAGTCGCTTTGGTGCATTTCTCAGATCAGAAATGAAATTCGCAAAACTACTTGATCAACCTCCACACAAGTTTTTTGCAAATATTAAGGATGATTTGAGAAATGCACCAAAGCGACTGAGAAAAACTCTAAATGCTTATACACCAATAAAAAGAATCACCAAATGTGAGTTTTTAGCAGCAGTGCTTCCCTCTAGTGGTGATGATGTGTCATGACACAGACAGTAAAGATGTGCATAAGCATTGGGGGTAAAGAAAGGTTTAGGGTGTTTAGTTTCCTCTCACAGCCACTTCTCCATGACTCATGAAATGATGTCACAGCAGCAGATCACCTTTCACCTGCAGCTATACTTAGTATGTGTGTGGCAGCACATGTGATCTTTCAGTCATCTAGTACTCGCTTCTTAAAATTAGTCCTTTGAGCTTGAACTTGCCATTCATGCACACACCCACATAGTCACAGACTGTGCCCTTCATACATACCAGTTAATTTCACGGTCACGGGATAGTTTTGCAGTTACAGGGATTCGTTTTTCACCCCTAAGATTTTCATAGACATTTCAGAGAGATTTATTGGAAGCCCTAGCATTTCAAAGTAAAGTTTGAAATCACAAACTGAGCTTTTTTTTGTTGGTAGAAACTGGCTGATTTTGTGTGATCTTGACATATTCTTACTCCTTGACCTGCCGTGTTTTTCCTTTCTGTTACAGAATAGCGGCCAATGAACCGTCGTTTATGTCAATGCAGCTAAAGATATTAGACCAACGACATAAACAGAAATTAAATCTAAAAGCATTGGACGCAGTGCTTTTTGGACCTCCACTACGTAAGTTAATGCACATAAGCTGGAATAAGACTTGTTAAATAGTTTATGTAATGGGATAGTTCAGCCCCAAATTTATGTTGTTCCAAACTTTGCTTTCTTGGAATACAAATAATGTACTATAATGTCACAAACAATCTCGCTCTTTTCAGTGCAGTTAAAATGAATGAGAAAGGAAGGTTTTACGGTTTAAAAGGAATGCAGTAGCAACACAAAAGTGTCATAAGTAGTCAGTATGACTGCACTACCATTCAAAAGTTTGGTGTCAGTAAGATTTTAAGATTAATACTCGGCAAGGACAAATCAAATTGATCAAAAGTGACAGACTTCTACATTCTGTTCTTTTGCTGTTATTTTGAACTTTATATTGATCAAAAAATCCTAGAAAAAAATAACAAAAATATTAAGCAGCATAACTGCTTTCAAGATTGATAATAAGAAGAAATTATTCTTGAGCACCAAATCAGCATATTAAAATGATTTCTGAAGGATCATGTGACACTGAAGACTGGAGTAATGCCAGCTGAAAATTCTGCTTTGCCATCACAGGGATAAATTATATTTTAAAATATATTAAAATAGAAAAACTGTTATTTGAAATTTACAATATTCAGTATTTCACAATATTGCCATTTTTACTGTACTTTTAGTAAAATAAATGCAGTCTTTGTGAGCATAAGACGCTTCTTTCAAAAACATTTTTTAAATGTTATATTTTTGCACAAAGCTATTGTATAGAAGTATTTCTTTTATTGAAATATTTGCTTGCTTAGTGGGTAAAAATGCTCTCTCTTTTCTCTCTTTTTCCTCTAGGTCCTCACCATCACTGGCTGAAGGACTTTGTTTTGATGATTTCAATCATCATTGGTGTGGGAGGCTGCTGGTTTGCATACATACAGAACAAATCATCTAGAATTCACATCTCCCGGATGATGAAAGATCTGGAGAGTCTACAGAATGCTGAACAGAGCCTGATAGAGCTACAGAGCCGGTGAGAGAGAAAGCAAATAACAGACAGTGAGAGAGAGAGAATAAGAGCACGAAATATTCTATCATCTGTTTAACATCATATTTCATTTCTTGTTATGAGAGGGCTCATTAAGCTTTTCTATAAGTACCCTCAAGGGAAGAGTTCATCCTAAAAAGAAAATTCTGTCATCATTTGCTCACCCTCATGTCGTTCCAGATCTGCATGACTTTCTTTGTGGAACACAAAAGGAGAGACTAGCTCCAATATGACAAAAAGCACCATAAAAGGTGTTCATGCAACTCTCACACAAATTTCTGAAGCTGTAACATAGCTGTATGTGAAGAACAGAATGGGTTTTGCTGTCTTCACCCACATCCATATGTCAGTACAATGAGACCCCTTGCCATTGACCATTACATGTCAAGTATGGCATTACATTCATAATGTGATATGACATGACACCTTTTTTTTGTCTTTTTCTTGAGCTCGACAGCCTATGACCCCTTTCACTTGCATTATATAGAAAAGAGTGGACATGATACTGTTTGTTTTATTTTCCTCTGAAGTCATTTAGGTTTGGAACAACATGAGGGTGAACAAATTATGACAGAATAGTATTATTACTATTACTATTTTAAATTGCAACACACCAAATTTCAGATGTGACTTAAATTTCTCTGTGGTTTCATCAGGCTGGAAAAAGCTCAGGAGGAGAACCGGACGGTGGCGGTGGAGAAGCAGAACCTGGAGCAGAAGATGCGTGACGAGATCAACGGAGCAAAGAGAGAAGCCAGCAGACTGCGAGAGCTGCGAGAGGGGGCTGAATGTGAACTCAGCAGACTCAAGTACGCAGAGGAGGAACTAGTGCAGGTAGGAACCAATATACAGTGAATACGGAAAGTATTCAGTTAGTGTGATAACCCTTACTCTTTGTTATAAATTATGACAGAATAGTATTATTACTATTACTATTTTAAATTGCAACACACCAAATTTCAGATGTGACTTAAATTTCTCTGTGGTTTCATCAGGCTGGAAAAAGCTCAGGAGGAGAACCGGACGGTGGCGGTGGAGAAGCAGAACCTGGAGCAGAAGATGCGTGACGAGATCAACGGAGCAAAGAGAGAAGCCAGCAGACTGCGAGAGCTGCGAGAGGGGGCTGAATGTGAACTCAGCAGACTCAAGTACGCAGAGGAGGAACTAGTGCAGGTAGGAACCAATATAAATCAAACAAAGCCCTTCATAGATTTAGTCTTTAATGTGATGACCCTTACACAAAGGCCCTGTCTCAAATTGCAACGTAAACGCATAGCGGCTGCAAAGGGGGCACTCACGAACACCCTTCTGAAAGCTAAAATGATGAATGGGACTTAACAGACACACGCATGCGGCGGGCATTGTAAGTCCGCAAGACTGCAAGTGCATGTGAAGTCTACCATTTGGGACAGGGCCAAAAAAGAAGTTCTGTTGTGTAAAGTGTGCTGCTAGTATCCTTCTTTTAAAACTAAAACTAAAAATAAGAGAGTATACTTTCAGTCTACTTGGCTTATACAGAAAAGTATGTTTCGCCTACACTTGTTCTTAATCTTTTAATCAAGATATAATTAAGAAAATAATAAAGTATTAAGTATTCCAAATATGTTATGCTTCAAGTTCAAGTGTAAGCCTGCGCTGCAGTTATGTGCAGTTATCTAAACGCCCAAGCTCTTTAAAGCTGGATGGATTCTGATTGGCTGTCACTGTTTTTATTGTCCTTAGCTGGAAAAAAAATCTTTGTGAAAGTGATTCCAGCACTATCATTCCTCTGTGCAGTTATGGTTATAGTTGAGGTTATACTTCTTTGGTGTGAATGGGCCTTAAATATGCATTGAAAAAAACTTATCCATAAGTATCCATAAGCCAGTAACACTGACAAACAAACTTCTACATCAAAATATTTTTATATAACAGTTTATTAAAAATCCATTAACAGATAAAACGAAAAAGTATGGATAAACAAGAATACTACTAGTACATTGATATTAGTGTATCCTACATAAAGTATACTTGGAAAATATACTTGAACTTTTAAAAGAAAAAAGTACACTTCAAGTATATTTTATGCTGCTTTTTGTAAGGCAAGCCAGACTTTTGACCACACAGTAAGCAGCCTAACATTTTCCTTACATGATGCATATATGAAGGGGGTAAATCTGAAATTAATGCTACCACAATAACTGACCAATAATAGACCGTTTTATGTAGCAAAGTATGAGCTATCAACATGATACAGTAATGTTAAATATATTTTCTCAAGCTATTAAAATGGCCTTGGGGTCTCTAAGACTCGAAACAGAACAGAAGGATTAATATAGTAAAATGTAATTAATTACTTTTTGTCCAAAACGTATTATTTCCTGCAGTTTATCATTGGATTTCTATTGCCTTTCATCACAACAGCCTTATTCTGTAAAAAACACCACTAGATGGATGTAGCGTTCCTCAAGTTGTGATGTTGTAATAAATTACAAGTTCCACAGTGTTTGTGTTTGTTGGGTATTTCCAGGTGCGAATGGCACTGAAGAGAGCAGAGAAAGAGATGCAGTCAGATTGGTCGGTGCCAGAAGCCCTGCAGATGTGGCTTCAGCTCACACATGAGGTGGAACTGCAGTACTACAACATTAAAAAACAGAATGCCGAGCTGCAGCTCACGGTCGCAAAGGACGAGGTGAGTGATTTATTGTTCACACTTCTTGTCAGGGCAGGAAATGCTTGTTTGACCAACAGATTTTAAAGTTTCAGGCCAAATAGTTATTGGATCTTTGAGTCTATGAAATATTTACTTAACATCAGCTATTATACATTAAAAGTGAAGTTAAATTTTCAGTTTAAATCTACCTAAACAAACATCTCATTCACATTCTCTCTCAGTGACTAACAAAAATGAAGCTGAAACTTTCCCCTGTTAATTTAGATTTCTAATGATGTGGTTAAATGACTTTTTAACTACATGGTTTGTTTTGCCGTTTGTTATTTGCATCTAGAATGAGTCATCAGCAGTTAAGCTAAAACAATTAGCAGTCACTGCAGCAGGAGAGATGAGCTTTGCGTTCAGTACAACCAGCAAATGTGCAGATCACACACGAGTCAACTGGTGCATTTCCATGCAATGTCATTGTATTTTCATTACTTGTGTGTTTCTATGGTCATGTTGTGTGAATTTCAGGCAGAAAAGATCAAGAAGAAGAGGAACTCTGTGTTTGGTACCCTCCATGTTGCACACAGCTCATCGCTGGATGAAGTAGACCACAAAATACTTGAGGCTAAGTAAGAGCACATAATGCACATGCACTCGCTAATGGTTACCCGCGTTAAATGAAAGCTTATTAGTGTTTTTTTTTTCTTTTTCTTTTTAGAAAAGCTCTATCAGAGGTCACAGCCTGTTTGCGTGAACGTCTTCACCGCTGGCAGCAAATAGAGAAGTTATGTGGCTTTCCAGTGGTTCATAACTCTGGGCTGCCCAGCCTCACCGCCTCCCTGTACGCCGACCACAGCTGGGTGGTCATGCCGCGGATGTCAGTGCCACCCTACCCAATCGCTGGCGGGGTGGACGATCTCGATGAGGACACACCACCAATCATTCCACAGTTCACCTGTAAGTTCCCCTCTTTAAGCCCAAGATTGTGTGAAATGTTCTAAAAATGCGACTTTAAATTACATAATTTTTTAATTTTTCTTTCTAAACCATTCAGATGCATTTAAAAACAATGTAAGACATCGGGAATAAAGATCTTTATTAAATCTTTTTTTTTTTTTAATGAATGAATTATTCTTTTTTAAATGTTGTTCATTAAAGCTTGTGATGCCTAAATTTTACAACCCGTTAATCATGAGAACTGGTCCCTAAACTAAAGTCTTACCTACTTTGTTATGATAAGTATACCATGCTAAGGTGCATAAAGATCTGTGTTTTCTACACAGCTCCTTTGATTCGACCTCCTCTGACCCGCAACAGCAGTGTTTGTCGTTCCCGCAGAAGTCTTCTGTCTCAGCCCTCGTCCCTTTCTCCTGACCCTGACCTGTTGTCTATGGCCTCGGGCCCACTGGCCTACAGACCCGAGGGAGACGATGATCACATCTTCTTCACTGTCGAAAGGAAAGGGTACGTCAGCTTTTCTTTGTATATATTAATTAATTAATTTAAAATTCTGTACATGTTAATTTACCTTTATAAAATCACATTTATATATGAATAATTTCAATGAATGCACGGTTTCAGTCAAAAGTTCTGAATAATTTTTTTTTTTATGTTTTTGAAAGTCACTTATACTCACCAAGGTTTATCTATTCGTCAAAATACAGTAATATTGTTAAATGCTATTGCAATTTAAAATAACTGTTTTCTATATTATTTTAAAATTTAAGGCGAGACACTGCAGGTGAATAGGGCAAAAATATTAACTAATAGTTATCACCTTACCCAGTTGATTGATTACATTGATAATTGCAAAAAATTTTTGTATTACAAGTTTTCTAAAATGTTATGTTTAAATATGCATAATGATGCATTATTTAATGAAATATGCACTCGTTTGCATAAATTTCTAGTACAAAAATCTGAACACTGGATGAAGTCAGTTTCAAAATTCTTGTTTAATTTTTTTTTTGACATATTAGAGGCAAACGTTTTTACAGAGGGAATTTTGCACTCCATAATTCAGAAAAATCTTTGAACAGCCAGAAAACAATGTATTTTCACACTTTTGGGGGGAATAAAATGTTGTATACAATCAAGCAAATTATATCTGAACCAAATCCCTCTGTAAAAATCTTCAGAATATAGACAGGAATAAAAATGTAAAGTTTGGTGTGTGTAAGTGCTACTGAAGTGGAGATTTATGGCTCAGTGTAGGAGAAAAAACTCATTTTGAGAAAACGGCCTTTAAAAATATGTATTGTAATTGAAATATATTGACACAAATAGATAAAGTGCTATAAAATAAGCAGTTAACAGTGTCTTTTGGATGTTTTCTTTCCACTAGTCTTTATCAACACTTTATGAAAAGCCAAAAAGCCCAAAATCTCAAAATTGACAGGTGCATGAAAAAATAGTGTTTTTGCCTGGAGTGTCTCCCCTTAATTTATTTCTGTGATGGCAAGACATTACTCCAGTCTTCAGTGTCAAATGATCCTTCAGAAATCACTTTAAAATGTTGATCTGGTGCTTAATTATTGTCGTATTGATTATTGCTGCTCAATTATTAATAATGGTTCTTACTATTATCAACGTTGAAAACAGTTTACGCTACTTAATATTTTTTTTGTGGAAACTGTAATACATTTTTTTTTCAGGATTCTTAGATGAATATAAAGTTCAGTGAACAGCATTTCTATGAAATAGAAATAACATAAATGTTCTTACTTTCACTTTTGATCAATTGGATGCTGATTCGGTCTTGCTGAATAAAACCATTAATTTCTATATGAAAAAAGTACTTAAACCAAACTTTTCAATGGTAGTGCATCACAGTTTCCACTGTAGTGGACAGCACATTCCAGGGCCCAGTTTATGGCGGGGCCCCTCTCTGACCACAATAGTGGACAAAGGTTTGCTACATTTTGATTGGATCTTGGTGGACTAACATAAGCAAACTGTCCAACGCCATCAGATAAAGATGCCAGGACAACAGCCAGACACCACTTAGAAGTCAAGAATAAGACCTTTGGTACAAAGCACGGGAAGGACAGGACTTCTCATTGGTCAAAATGCAGTTTCTGCCCTTCACCCACCAATAGACTGTTTTCTAAGATTTGGCCTGTGACTGCCATAAAAAAATTTAAAAAAAAATCCTTAGGACCTCTGGACACAGCAGCAGTGGGTGAAACAAAGAAAGATCAAAAAGATCCATCCCCGCTCTGATGGAAACAGCCAATCACAGCACGGAAATGGAGATGCGCCAAACTGCAATCTTCTCCTCATCGGAAAAGGATAAAGGTACACTGATTAAAATTATTTTGTGGTGAAGTAAATAATACAGAAAAACAAATGTAATTTCTACATTAAATAATTTCTCAAACCTTAAACTGATGCAAACTGCAACACACACATCTTATACTTATTCAGAGAAATAAGTATTCTCAGTGACAGCAACGTGTAGTGCAACATCTTACACAAACTCAGCTGTTAACGGACAAATGAACGAATGTATGAAAGTTCATTCTTTTTCCATCATGTTTGGACTTAATGTGTTCGTAACATTGTCAAAGGTATTCTGGTTGTGGTTTGGTAAGTGAATAATGCATTGGTACTGTTCTGAGTCTGAGCCCTGCATGGGTGAGACGATAGCAGATCCTGTCAGGGAAAAGACACCAACAGAGCAAGTTCTGAGTATGAGTACTACAATGGAAAAGACACTAACAGAGCAAGATCTGAGTCTCCGGCCTGCAAGGGTGAGACACTAACAGATAAACCTCGGTACTGAGTCTGAGTCCCGAAAGGAAGAGGCAATAACAGAAACAACTGTTCTGAGTCTGAGCCCTGCAAGGGTGAGGCAATAGCAGATCAACCTTCGTTCTGAGTCTGAGTCCTGTCAAGGAAAGGAAAGGACTGCAACAGATCACCAACGTTCTGAACCTCTGGCCCGTGAGGGAAGAGGCAATAACAGAAACAACTGTTCTGAGTCTGAGCCCTGCAAGGGTGAGGCAATAGCAGATCAACCTTCGTTCTGAGTCTGAGTCCTGTCAAGGAAAGGAAAGGACTGCAACAGATCACCAACGTTCTGAACCTCTGGCCCGTGAGGGAAGAGGCAATAACAGATACCAAGTCCTAAGTCTCCAGCTTCGAGGCAGCAACAGATACGACCACAGTCTGAGCCTCCAGCCTGCGAGGAAAGAGATAATCTACGTTCAGACTTCATTCAGAGTATTCTCCAGTGAGACAACAAAAGATGCAGCACGTCCTGAGTCTCCATCCTAGAGAGACGAAGCGGATCGACCAAGTTCTGAGTCTCTAGCCCAGAGAGGCAGAAGACACACAGACATCTTCAACAAGGTTAAACTCCGGTGAGCAAACCTTCACTCCAAGGTACCTTTGCTTGCGTGTTCCAGGCTAACGACCTTCTGCACCTACTCCAGGGCCACATCTTCATGTTCCAGATTTTAGGACCCTTTGGTGCTCCAGGAGATCAGCATCCTCCAGTGCTTCGTGTTCAAGGCTGTCGAAACGGATTCCTGCTCCTTTCCCCACTGCATTGCTACCAGCACAACCAGTGGATGAAGTCACCGCTACCGGACTGCTCACTCAACTACAGAGAACGTAACTATCACTTATCCACACCTCTTCCAGAGACCTTGGCATTGTTGTATATTATCAGTTTATGATTTTTCTAATTTACATTAGATATTATATAGCTGATTGCAGTTGATAACAAATAATATTTCCCTTATTTGTTTGATGCATAATAAGGTTCTTCACATTATTTCTTTCAGAGTAGCAACAGTTTATCTTTCCAGATAACATAGCTCTGACATAACAATACCCAACATAATCACTTGCATTTTATGCATCTTATGCACTTTATTCCTATTCCATATATGGTATTCATTTAGTAGTTGTTGATTACTCTTGTCTATCTTTTGTTAATAAAATCTATTTTATTACACTTGTGTCTTCCTTGTGTTGATGATACAGAAAGAGGTTCTACAAGTTAGAGATCCCACCAATCTTTCTTATGTGATGTACTCATAACCACACCTTAAGTGACA